GGGAAAGGGCATATCGCAGTCGGCATTGCCCTACCGTCGGTCGTTCCCGACATGGTTGAAAATGAGTGCCGACGACGTCAAAGAACAGATCTTTAAGCTGGCCAAAAAAGGTCTTCGACCTTCTCAGATCGGCGTGATTCTTCGCGACTACCATGGCGTGGCTCAGGTGCGTTGGGTAACCGGCAACAAGATCCTTCGTATCATGAAGGCCAAAGGCTTGGCTCCTGAAATTCCTGAAGACCTGTATCATCTGATCAAAAAGGCGGTTAACATTCGTAAGCATCTGGAGCGGAACAGAAAAGACAAGGATAGCAAATTTCGTCTGATTTTGGTAGAAGCTCGCATCCATCGTCTGGCACGCTATTACAAGACTAAAAGAACCCTGCCTCCAACATGGAAATATGAATCGTCAACTGCTTCAGCTTTAGTATCATAAGGAGGTCCACAATTTATTGCCAGATGTGTGTTGAGAATAGAGTAAAACCTTGAAATGGTAGAAACGTCTGTACGCCAAAGTCACTTTATTTAGTAGACTGAGAGCTGTCGTTTCTATCTTTAAAACTATTTTCAAGCCATTTGCCATAATCTTTTCTGTCTGAACTTTTAAACAGGTCACTCTCATTAAATTCGTGATAACTATGTAAAGTAATATGGGAGTTGTTGGAATTCATTATAAGTAAGCTTCATTTAGTTGGCTTGTTTCTGTGTACAGTGAACATATCTACATGCACAATCATGTAACAATTAGTTACCAAGGTGAATTCGAACTGATAACAGATGAATAGCAGTATTCTTTTGCTGTTATGCATTCCTAACATATCCGGAGATTTTCTCGAAGGGGTATACTTTAGATATCCTAACCACTGCCGAAACGTAATGAGATCGTTCGACGCCGTCTAATACTGGTACAGCGTTCATAAGAGTAAGGTTGCTATTATTTTTTGGTCTTCGTAGTGTATCCTAAATCATTTATCACAGCAATTTGCAGTTGAATAGGATTTTTCACAACTAAAGATCCATGTCACCACGTAAGTACCAAAACGATAGGCAGAGACTTTAACAGAGATCATTCAGCTTGGTTTTGGTAGCAGAATGCAACGACGGAGATTTCATACGAATGACTCCTCGAGAGCCAACGGCGAGTTGCAGCACCTGTTTTCTCCTGATTGCCTGGTGCGGTTTAAGCAGGCCACAACTCGTTGGTGTTTGAACACCTTCAGCTCCAGATGCATCTTGCATAATAGAGAATCCTCAAGTTCATCACGAACGATGCTTCAGGAACTGATACTCTTCATATGTTAGGCCTAAACATCATAAGCTGCAGGTACGCACTAGTTTGTCAGATAAAGGGGAATGGTTCCCCCAAGATTAGATTTAATGGCGTATTCCACCGCGTCCTTCTAACTGTATAGGGGTTTATTTAAACAGGTTACGGCTCCATGGTATTTAAGCAACTGCAGTTTTAGATATACGGCATGAATATCCTGGAATAAAGTTCGTGAGGAGGGTGAGGTTCCTCTTGCGGAGAAGCTGATGCGAGATGAAATGAGGTGCATGCAAAGTCATTTTGATAATGAACCAAGGGTTTGATCACTTCGTTAGGGTATTTTGTATATATCACTAGCGTGCCATGTACGAAAAATTGCAGTTCGTAAAATTTGGCAGTACTCCGTAATAATAACTTTTAATAATTTTCACCCCTTGTAATTTTCCACTGGTTCTGACAGGAGTGTGTGAAGTTTACGCGCTACCGGTCTTTTGCTAGTCGGGTATACGTTAGGGGCTAGATTCGGAAGTGCGATGCTGTTAGATATTTTATACGCCGGAATAATATTGACCGCCTCTCATATGGCTGCGAAATTCGGATACAGACTAAAATAATGGTTTGGCCATAATCAGACCGTCCTGCTTTGGTGTTGTTAAAAAAGGAAACGCGCTAATTAAATAAAAAATTCATAGCGGCAAAATAAACAAAAGAAACTATATCCTTAGCGACATGAACATGCTACATTCAATCGACCAGAAATGCATATTAGCAGCAAATTATGTAATTTAGCAAACAACGGAACAAACGCAATTTAGCATATATGAAACCTGTTTTAAAAAAAGATATACATCGTTCTGTGCACGAACGTTACAGGATAAAACTCAAAATCCGCGCTGAACTAAATTGCATTTGTCGAAAAATTCTGGTTCAGGGACTAGAACAGCAACAAAGAGGGATGACTAAGTGAATAAAATGCGCTTTTCGATAATGGATTCAACATATTACGGCATATTCGAACAGACTGGTCGTACATTCAGTGTTGTACTAACTTTGTGAATAAATAAAAAGATTTATTAACCTAAATTTGAGATATGAATCTGTACCTCGGACAAATATCCTCTCAATTAAGAAGCATAAGTCATTTTGAAAAATGTGGGAGGCGAGGCAAAGGTAACGCAGATGATAAAGATTTGGTTTTCATT